TGAAATTAGAAGTGAAATTCAAAAGTTCCTTTTCTTCCTGAGGCTTGTGAAGAAAGTCTAGAATGCATCCCACGGTCTCACATTTAGTGACCCCCACTATGTGCGGAAATAAAGGGAAGGCTTTCCTCCAAATGCTGTCCATGCGTAAGTTCCACTAATGCTCACAAAGAACACAGAGAGCAAGTCCCAAAGTCACCACGACTCTTTGTGGACAGAGAAACTGAGTATAAGAAGTTGGCCTCGGGTCACAGAGCTTATAGCTGGCAGGACACCCAGACATTGAACTCAAGCCTTCATTTGTGATGACCTCATAAATAATTCATTCAAGTCATGGGGTGGGAAGGCTGTGATGGAGCTGGGAGGATCTTAGAGGTAGGTGGTCTGACTGGGAAAATTCTGCAGACAGGAAACTTAAGAGCTACCATTAGATCCACAAGCACATCCGTTCCCCTTTGTGCAGCACACAACGCCCGTCTGCGCTCTATGTGCTACCATACAGTTCGCGAGCCTCCGAGTTTTGGGCAAGGGGCTGGAGATTGAAACACACAAACACACACAGACAGAGAGACAGAGACACAGACCTCTGGTTACTGGTAAGAAGCCCTTTATTCAATAGCACCATGGAGGCTTATACACCCAACAGTCAGGTGGGCCAACAGGTGAAAACCTTATCCTCTGATCCTCAAGGCCAACGCAACACGTGCTCGTGAAGCAGAGCTGGTAAACAACTTTGATACAGCCTTTAGTAACTCAAATCAGAAGGAAAGTAAAGATCTATAGCAGGGAAGAGCAGCTGGGGGCCAGGACTCCAGAAGGTCCCAAGACCCTTGTCCTCTCCTTGTGTTTGTCAGTCATCCTTCAATTGCTTGTTTGTTACATCCTCAAAGAAAGAAAGGAGGAGGGAGAGAAGGAGGGAGGGAGCGAGGAAGAAAGGAAGAGAAGGAAGAAGGAAGGAAGAAAGGAAGGAAGGAAGGGAAGAAAGGAGGGAGGGAGGGGGAGGGAAGGGAGGGAGGGAGGGGGAGGGAGGAAGGGAGGGAGGGAGAGAAAGGAAGGGAGGGAGGGAGAAAGAGAAAGGAAGGGAGGGAGGGAGGGAGGGAGAGAGAGAGAGAGAGAGAGAAAGAAAGAAAGAAAGAAAGAGTCAGACATAGAGTAAGTCAGACAAGGTAGCTGACCCATGTAATGCTAGCCTCCTGAGGAGGCAGAGGTACAATGATTGCTTGCAGGTTCAAGGCCCATCTGGGCTCCAGAAAGAGCTCTAGGCTGAGCTTCAGTGTGAGACCCTATCTCAGAACACCACCACCAATATCACTTTCTAACATGTCTCGCTACAATGTCAAAAGTATGAAATCCTTCACCTTCCCTGAGTAGCATGCCACAGCTGAGCTGCACTACGGCACCAGCTGCATTCAAACGTGGTCACTTTGCTTTCTGTATTTCAGATGTTTGGTTCTGTGGAAGATATCATCGAATACTACAAGCATTTCCCCATTAAACTAATCGATGGGAAAGACAAGGCCGGTGTGCACAGGGAACAGTGCTACCTCACCCAGCCCCTGCCTCTCGGCAGGCTCCCCCTGACTCCGCACTCCAGCCAGGCACCTCACGACTAAGCAGCCTAGCCAGGTATTTCCACATCAGCAGCCTGGACCTTCCTCATCCTCAGCTAAAAGGATTCAGCGCTTCTACCATCTGCATTTATCTCAAATTATATTGTCTGTGCCTTCAAACGATGGCTTTCTTGACTCTGTAAAAAAAAAAAATTATTCTGTAATAGAACTTGAGAGCTCAATTATGGCTTGAAAGCCTGAGTCATAGAAGAAATACATGCGATCTGAAAAAAAAAATTAAACCTGGGTTTTAAAAAGAATTTTCTAAATGGGAAACTGTAGGCATGGTTATCATACATTAGCGATGAATAGCTAATGCAACAAGATCTGACAGTTTCGATGTTTGCAGCAGGTGTGAGATCCCCAAACTGCTACTCAGTGGAGGACATCAGGCTGACCTCGGTTCAGAACGTCTTGCCCTAGGATGCTAATTTTTGGATGCTGAGGATGACAGTGGATGTTATTTAGTTCTCTTTATCTGTAATCCTTGAAATTCAAATACAGGGAAGAGATGTGATATGAAGAAAAAAAAGCCATTGTGAATACCAGCATGCAGACAGAGAGAAGAAATAAGCGGACCGTGATGTGAAATGGCCGGAGGCCCAGATGTCAGCCTACTTTCTGAATGGTGACTTCCATGGAACTAGCAGATCCATAGAGAGGAACACAGAGCTCACCCCAATCATAAAGCAAGCATTCATTTGAGTTACAGCGAAAATGTTTTGAGTAGTTTAATGATAGATTTCTATTACAGGAAGAGAAGAACTGTCCTCAGAAGAGTACTGATAGCTACAACAGCATAGCACATCATGGTATTGTCTCTTCTCAAGCAATGTATTCCTACTTTATAACACAGATGAGGTAGGGCATTCAAAGATCTCATTTAGGATAAGAAGTAAGCATGAACTATAACCCAGTTTGCCTGTTCCACGTCACTGCATCATCCCAGATATATTCTCTACTCTATGGGCTTTTATAATTGAGCTATGAACTCTTATAATTAAAGTTATACTTTAACAATACAGGGCCGGGCGGTGGTGGCACATGCCTGTAATCCCAGCACTCGGGAGGCAGAGGCAGGCGGATCTCTGTGAGTTCGAGGCCAGCCTGGTCTACAAGAGCTAGTTCCAGGACAGGAACCAAAAACCACAGAGAAACCCTGTCTCGAAAAAACCAAAAAAAAAAAAAAAGAAAAGAAAAAAGAAAGTAAAACAATACATATTTATCCACCTTAAATCCTTATAGTATAGTTAGTTCACCGAAATAAGGCGTCATTGAATAAATAGGTATACCATACGCCATGGCTTCAATTATTACCAAATACCACATGTAAAATTCATGGAGCAGTTATGCAATTTGAGTTTTCATGATGAAATAAAACCAGCTAGAGCACCGGAGATGTAGTTAAGTTGGCAGAAAGCATACCCAGCCCTAGGTTAAATTCCCAGCACTGTAGAAAACAGTGAGTGTGGTGGTGCAGACGTTTACTCTCAGCACCTGGGAGGTAGAGACGCAGGAGGATCAGAATCTCAAGGTCATCCTTGACTACACAGCAAAGTCAAGGCCACCCAGGATTGCGTAAGACCCTGCCTCCAAAAGAGAGAGAGTGAAAAGGTAAGAGAATCACATGAAAACAGAACAAGCAATTTCTAGCATTGTCTCTTTTGTAAAACCGTGGCAGGAAAGATGCTCTCTGTAGTAAGATCCAGACCAGAGTTTGCTCATAGACTAGACTGTCCTGCTGAGCAGAAAGGGCCTGGTCCTGGTGCCTCTTCGTGCCAACTCACTGGCTGGAGATCTGAGCTTTGAACTCTGTAACAGACACAGAAATTACTTGCCAGGGACTTGTCCACTGAATTGCTGGGCAACATTCCTGTGTTTACTATTTCCAGTGTCTGTTACAATAAAAGGTGTTTTATTGCAATTGATGACTAAGGAATAGCATATGAAAAACTGAACGTATTTCATTCTTATAATAGATACTAACACCTTGGCTTTATCTTAAGACGACATATTTGTGACTAAAGCTGGAAAGTACAGTTTTTCTGTTTTCCACTTATTGGTTTTATTGGATCCCTAGCTGAAAAAGCCAGTGATAGGTAGCATGGTAGGATGTTTCAGTCTTTCTAACTAGTGTCTCATTTTGCATTTTAAAAAAAATGTCACTTGACACCTAGCCTCAGTAGGGCAGTGGAATTTCAGTTCATCTGATTATGGCACTTGTGAATTCCAGAGATCTCTTTTGGACGACATCTGTGTCTCCTCCGGTTATCACACAACATTTTCAGCGGCCTGGCTGTAGGTCCCTCTTGCTAGGGGCTTTGTAGATGTTGAGAACGGTGGAGTGAGCAAGAGAGACAAAGTGCACACAGACACAGATAATCCAGTTAGTTTCCTGTTACTCTCTGTATCTCCATTTGAATACATCACTGGGATCTTTAGGGGGAGGAAAATGTTAGATTTGTTTGTTCGTTTGTTTTTCAAGACAGGGTTTCTCTGTGTAACAGCCCTAGCTGTCCTAGAACTCTCTCTTTATAGACTAAGCTGGCCTTGAACTCACAGAAATCTGCCTATCTCTGCCTCCTGAGTGCTGGAATTAAAGGTGTGTGCCACCACCGCCCAGTTTGATTAACTGTATTATATCTATAAGCAATTTAATTAATTCATTCTAATTAATATAAAAAAGTCAAGCTTGACTCTGTCAGATATAGTTATTATTATGTGTGTGAACACATGTTTTAAAGATAGCCTTAACTATGTATGATTCACATTACACTTGTACATCTATTGGATTAGTCTTAGTAATATGTATTCAAGCTAAGCACACCTGCCTTTTAATACTTGAAGTTTATGGATTGTTAATTTAAATGAAAGCAAATATGTAACTCCATATTGTAATATTCTTGTCACTGAGGGTGAAGAGGGGAATTAAAAGCATAAGTTTAATCTTCTTTGTTTCTTGTGCTATTGCCCCTAAAGCACTTTGGAAATCACACTTAGGGCAAAGTTAAGAAATATTCCTAGAATAATTATTGGCGTATGAGTGCTATGCTAGATTCTAGGGATAAAGATAGAGACACAGCCATGTGACTCACAGCTCAAAGCTGACAAATTGCTGTCAAATTAACCAAAAAGGGAAAAAAATAAAAACACAAGAATGTGAGGAGGGAGTGGGCCCTGTGCCCGGAATCTCAGAGGCCGAAGCTCACGTGTGCAACTTGTGCCATGGCCACCTACCCCACCTGCTCTGAGCATTCGGAGACCTTCCACAGCCTTTTGGAAGACCTACGGGGGGTTTCCGAGTGGCTGCTGGGGACCGCGGGGACCAGAGAGAAGAAGCTGGTCAGAGATTTTGATGAAAAGCAACAGGAAGCAAATGAAACGTTGGCAGAAATGGATGAAGAACTACGGTATGCACCCCTGACTTTCTTTAATCCCATGATGTCTAAACTTCAAAACTACCAGAAGGACCTTGCTAAACTCCATCACGAGGTAAGAAGTACACCTTTGACAGCCACATCTGGAGGCCGAGGAGATGTGAAGTACGGCACATATGCCTTAGAGAATGAGCGCTTGAATCGGCTACAGTCTCAAAGAGCATTGCTTTTACAAGGCACAGAAAGCCTGAACCGGGCCACCCAAAGCACTGAGCATTCTCATCGGATTGCCACAGAAACTGACCAGATTGGTACAAAAATCATAGAAGAGTTGGGGAAACAACGAGAACAGTTGGAACGTACCAAGAATAGACTGGTAAACACAAATGAAATCTTTTTTTTTTTAATAAAGATTCCTTTAATATGAGTTAATATGCTCATGTTACACACATACCACAAACACAAAACATTGTTTTTAAAGAATTATCTATCTGTGTATCACCACTGGCAAATCCTCAGAGACAGTCTTAGAAGAGAGCTGAGAGACACAGTAAGAGGCTTGAGCAAATGCAGAAAGATTCTCCACTCAATGTCCAGAAAACTGACAACCAACCAACTTCTCCTTTCCATCATCATCTTACTGGAGCTAGCCATCCTGGTCGGTCTTGTGTAGTGCAAATTCTTTCGACACCATTGAACTTCCTGGAGTGAAGGGATTGTGGACCAGAATCTTGACTCTGAATGAATGGTGTTGAGCATATATATTGCTGCTGTGGGCTAACAGTTCAAGAATGCATTGTGTATCCAGACTATGGGAGGGAGGGAAATGGAAAACCACATAAATGTGAAGGAACAGCAACAAGACCAGGATGATATACTAAGGTAATAAATGCTGTTTATGACTCCTTCAAAAAAAAAATAAGAAGAAATACCATTAGAGTCAGCAAGTCAACTCCCATGGGCCGATCAGGAAATACTGAGGGGAACACTTGAAGAGCTGCCTACATTTCTATGTTTATTGTGGAACTGTTAACAACAGCCAAGATTTAAAAAATAAGGTCAGCCTAAACATTCATCACTGGGAAAAGAAAACACATGTCACAAGGAAGTGTCCTAAAACCTTCACAAGAAAACACTCTACAGCCATCATAAGGAAATGTGGCCATACGTGAAAACGTGGGATGAAATGGCCAGGCGATACACACATTAAAGTGTGTAAAGCTTTGGTTGTACTGTCGAGTAACCACAAGATGTGCTTGACAACACCATGCCTCTGGTCAACAGTAAAGAATTGCACACTGAAAATTGGATTAAGAATGGGTCTCATATTAAATATTCTTACCACAGAAGAAGGGGGTGGGCAAGTTGGGGAGGCACTGATATGTTTATTTCCTTTACTGTTTGTGTGCATATCTTCGAGTGTATCCAGATGTACACATGAAATGTACCAATGCTGGTTTGCTCCCCTCCTCATATCAGTTATATTTCTCCAATGCTATCTGTTAAGATGAAGTATACAAGTTAACAAATGCATGCAAGACAAAATAATAGATTTGTAAGTTTCTTCTTTGTCTGTTGCAGCTCAGGTGGTGGGGGAAGCAGATTCACCGGGCAGTCTGGCCAGGGAAGACTTTGCAGAGATGGTTAGGGACTTTGAGGGTAACCCTGGGAGACAGCATTTGGAATGTCCTTAGTCCACATGGAGACCTCGTGTCCTCACAGCGCTATCCTAGACTTCGGGGAGTCAAGCAGTGACCACATGCTGGAGGGTTGGATGAAACAATAGAGGCAACATCCTCAGGGAAGGGACAGGTGATTCATTAAGTATTTCTAGGGAAACTGGCTCTCTGGCTAGAAAAAGAAAAAAAAGGTAATTATTTCTCTTCTTCGAGTCACAACAAAATATGTTCTGTATAAATCAAATAGCTGCAAGCAAAGTCAGAATTGAGTCCTGTGTTCTCATCTAATAATTTTTATGACTTTGGGATACAGAAGGTGCTCTTAAGCAAGATGAAGACATAAATCATAAAGGGAAAGATTGATAGGTTCATTACATCAAAATTGCAAATGTTTGCAAAAGTCAGGCAAAGCCAAGAGGCAATTAAACACCACGACACGCGCATACAAAGAGCATAAACAACTCGGAAAACACTGCAGGCCTGAAAGTTAAGACGAGTTGCCTTGCTGAGCGTTATCTGAACTGGGCAGAGATGGAGTTATCAGTGTTAGCCTAGAACAGAGGTTCTCATGCTCCCTAATGCTGTGACCGTTTAATACAGTTCCTCATGTTGGGAGGACCACCCTTCCTCCCGCCGACCATTTAAATTATTTTCATTGCTACTTCATAACTGTAATTCTGCTACTGTTATGAATCAGAATGTAAATATCTATGCTTTTTGATGGTTTTGGGTGACCCATGTGAAAGAGTCATGATCCCAAAGGGGTCATGACCCACAGATTGAGAAACACTTGCCTAAAAGGAGTAAATGTAAGAAAAATGCAAGCTGATTTCCAAAACAAAAATCTGGACAGACTGGGAAGTTTGACGTAATGACCTGCCATGAAGTGTAGGTAAAGCGTGAAGGTAGAGATTTTATCTACAATCCTGAGAGCCCTTGAGAGCCAACACTTCCTTGATCTGGATCAGAGGTTTACTCAGCCAGCCTAGCTGTGGTGGCCACTGAGAGAAAACAACTCAAATTAGGCCTGTAAAATTTAGCGCCGCTGTGGGGTGAGAGCTGTGCTGGACAATGGGGGCCCCAGGGGCCCCAAGCCCGAGTAAACAGCAGGCTCTATGAAGAGTAAAAGGCTTTCGACCAGGAAGTAAGAGAACAGAAATCTGCTACAAACGCTGACACAGCTGGCTAGCAGGGGCCTCCTGCTGGGCAACAGGAAACCCCACCCAGGCAGACACCCTTAGGTCTACCTCCAGAGCCTTTTCTTTAAATGCAAATGGCCACACATTGGGGGAAGATTCCACTATGAAAGAAAAAACCACAAGCCAGAAAAAAAAATTAAAGAACATAATGGGAAGATCCCGGGTGGTGGCGAAAAGGACACAGGAAACTAAACTGAATGTTCCCAGAGGGAAGACAATCCACAGCAAGTCAGGATGCTGCTTAAGTCAGCAGACATTCTGAACGAAACATTGACAACACTGAACGGAACAAGACAGGCAAAGCCATAGCGACCATTGGAAACATTAACACGCAAGACAACTAACTAGGCGAGAAAATGAAACCGAGTAAGGACACAGAGATTGTTACCGTCACTATCAACCTGAGGTCTAATTCCATTTAGCAACTCATTCATGAAACAGATACAGAGTACATATACTCTCCTCCCACACACCAGTCACCAAGAAGGATCAACTCCTGAGACCTAAAGCAATCGCAAAATTTTAAAATACTTCAAAAAAACCACAAATTAGTCTCTCAGGAGTTAAAAATAAACAACCTTAAATTAGAAGCTAATAATGTATCTAGAAAATTCCTCCACTGTTAAGAAAGCCATACATTTCTGTATTTCTTTAAGGCAAAGGAAAACAAACAAAGAACTTTAAAAATATGTGGCAGTGATAGCAAAGAGTGCACTTCAAAATTTAAAGGACATGTCAACCTTTTTGCTTAAAGATGTAATATAAGAATTTGTAGCTGTGTTCACTTGGGAGCACATAGGCCAGAACTGGAATGAAGATTAGCATGGCCCCTACACAAGGATGACATGCAAATTGGTAAAGCATCCCATATTTAAAAATAAACAAAAGAAGAGGAAGAAGAAAGAAAGCAAAGCAAAGAATTTATAGCTTTAACTGCACACATTAGCGAAGAGCACCCTACCATTAAGCACCATACTTCCTAGCATGAGCTATAAAGAAAGCATAAATTAAGCTCAAAGGAAAGAAATAATAAGGAGCAGAATTAAATAAATTTAAAAATAATGAGGCCAATAGAGTTTTATTACCCTAAATGCTGGTAATCCTTTCAAAATAAATAAGCAACCAAACACAAAGACTACTAACAGAACACAAAAGAAAACAACCCAACAGATTCCATAGACGCTGGTGATATAGGAAAGTAGTATCAGAAACACAGTTAAACTAATGAAGTGGAAAACTGTAATCTCACAGGCAGAAGAAATAGAAGAAGAAATGTAGACATTTAAAGTGGAAAAAAATAGAACCTTTGTACACAAAAGCTGTTAAGTCTAAACTTAGATAGACCCTATCAATTTTCTTTATAACAATACCAAATAGAAAAGGGAACCAGGTCTGCACTCTTTTTACGAGACTAATATAATAGCCATCATACCCTGGTGAACAAATAAACCAGAGCCCCTCCAGTCCCACTGTCTCCAGGAGTCAGGGACAGCCTGGACTATCCATCCATCAACCACCTGGCATACAACCTTCCCCAGAGACCTCTATGAAGGAAGCCCCACTGCCTCCTGGGCCTGAGCTCTGCTCAGAGCCCGTGTGCTACCATCTGTCTGTCTACTGCATTAATAACTTCTGATAATCTCTCACCCAGAAGGACAACCTGCCTCGGTGTCCATCTTCCACGCCAAACCTAAGAGCTTCCTCCAGGACATGTCACCAACAGCTGCAAAGCATGTGTCCCGCCCCCAAGCATGTGTGAAGTGTCCTCTAAGGTAGGTCACACACGAGGCCACAAAAGGAGTTCAAATTTAAGGTTAAAATCATATGGCATTTTCTCTCTGACTGCAAGGGAACAAGTCTAGAAATCAATGCAAAAGACACAACAAGGGATCTACAGCGGTGGGACGGTTGAGCAACTTGCTTTGTAAAGGAAGTTCACGTCATTTTCAATTTACCGACTTTTATTTCCTTAAAGGTATTGTGTGATGAGCACATCCCAACTCTGTTCCTCCACCTTCCCTTTCACCCTTCTCCCTCCAGTTAGCACCCTTGTTCTAGACACTTTCTTTTCCTCTTTCATTAACATACAAATACTTAAGATCTAGGATCTACGAATGGAATGGAACTTAATGGCTTTTGTCTTTCTCAGACTGGCTTAATTTGCTTAATATGAGTGTTCCCAGCAGCATTCATTTTCCTGTAAATGGCATGAGCTCATTCTCCCTGTGACTGGGAAGAACCCCATTGTGTGCATACAGCGTATTTCCCTGACCCATTCTTGTACCAGGCACCTAGGTTGGCTTAATTGCTTAACTATGAGTCAAAGAAGTGAATCATAAGTGAATTGGAAAACTAATCTGAAAGCAGATGAGAACAAAGATGCACGTACTCAAATGATAGGCTGGGTCAAAGGCAGGAGTTATTAAGAGGGAAGTATATAAGAAGAAACCCCAGCATTCAAGAAAAAAAAATCAACAACAACTGAACAACTTAAGAACCTAGGAAGAAAAAAAAAAGAACTTAGAAAGAGGACAAAGTAAACTAAAGACAACAGAAGACATGGCCAGAAATAGAAACTTGGAAACAGAAAGTAAACAAAACTAACAGCTGTTTCTATTAACAAAATCGATGAACTTTTAGCTGCATAAATGAAGACAACGGAAGAGCTCTGAATTAAAAGCAGAAGAGCAATGGCAAGTGATGTGACCGAAACAGGCATGTTGAGAGGGCCAGCATTTTGATTTCTCTCCCTCTTATGAAGCCACCAGGATGCAGTCATGGTGACACACCTGTAT